GTCTGCGTGGCGGGGAGCTGGGTTGTGCACACCCCCAGGAGCAGGTGCAAGGATGATGCCCGGGGGTGATGGCAGCCCCGGCCTGACTGTCTCTGCCCGGCCGCTGCCGCCAGACTGTTATTAGCCGCCCGGCTCTCTGGCCTTTGAAATGAGTCCCAATAAATAGTATTTATTCTGTCTGTACCGTGACAAATTTTAAAAAATATATTTTATTGATTTTTTACAGAGAGGAAGGGAGAGGGATAGAGAGTTAGAATCATCGATGAGAGAGAAACATCCATCAGCTGCCCCCTGCACACCCCCTACTGGGGATGTGCCCGCAACCAAGGTACATGCCCTTGACCGGAATCGAACCCGGGACCCTTGAGTCCGCAGGCCGACGCTCTAACTGAGCCAAACCGGTCAGGGCCCTACGGTGATAATTTTGTCAGGAGGGAGAAAATTCAGATTATCTACATGATCAGTTCGGATGATCTAAATGGTCATCTTAATATCAGGAATGGTTTGTTTGACCAACCCTTACTGCTTTCTGTTTTGTTTCGTTTTTTTTTCTTCCAAAAATACTTAAGGATTTGCAAAGACTCCAGAAAAGGGTGAGGATAGTGATTGAACAGAGCTTTGGTAACTTGGGTGCTGCCAAGCGAAGAAATGTTCTTAGGTGAGCAAATACGTATGCAGAATGGGCCGCAACACGCGGGGGCGGGGCCCAGAGCCCTGAAAAGCCTGATGCAGGCTGTGGCGCAGTCCCATTGCAGCGGGTTGACAGCCTCCCTGCTCCACCCACCTCTTCAGGATGTCAGGAGGGGGGAAGGAAGGTCCAAGGGAGAGGGAAAGAAAGCTTCGTGTTAAGCTTAGATGGTTAAGATCTTTAGGCTGTGGTGGATTTATATAAAACGGGGGGAGGGGTAAAAACGTCTGGTGACTCCTTGGTCACATGGTACCAGGTTCCTCAGGGCACCGAGGTGCTTGGTGAAATGTCCAGAGACGACAGTGCAGTTTGGAATGGAGATTGTTGTCAGATTGCCCAGTTGTATACGTCATCATCCCTGAGAGGATGGTAAGCATTTAATACTCTCCAGAATTTTGTCCGTTTCCAGAGAATAGGACCTATTGCCAGCAGGCTTGAGTTTGGGCCCAGCATGCTTCTAGCTGTGTGATAAACTGCTTCCTCTTTTTTGTTTCATTTCCTCAACGGTGATGTTACTGTTCTAGACAGGATTTTTTTTTAAAAAACATCTTTTTGTTGTTGTTATTGTGTGGATCATTTAGAGTTCATGGAGAAGGTGAATTTACTAAGATAGGGGACTTATTGAAAACGCTAGGAGGCTTAATGAAAGTACGTCCTTCCTTTGTTTAATTCTCAGTCCTGGGATATTTTTAGAGTAATGCCTATGTGGAAGGAAGTAAGAACACTGCAATAGATATAATCCTTTTTCTCTCTCACGTGGAGTTAGTTGTCTTAGAAGTATGATAGGACAATTGAGACAATATAGATAACTGGTTAAGAGCCAGTGTGCTAGCATGTGGATAGTAAGTTGGTTCATTTTATAGGTGGGAAAACATTTCTTTATGAATGGACTTGTGTGGGGCCACCTCCTAAGTCCTCTCAGTAGTCGCCTCTGGATCAAGCTCCCTGATTCTTTTTTGGGTCTGCTCTGGCTAAGGTAGTAAGGTGTCAGAGTACAAAATAGGGAGACCGATGTGTAAAGACCCTCCTGTGGCAGTTTTCTTCAGTAGGGGCTGATGTATGTATAAGAGACTGGTACGGCCTCTATCAGAAACCTAGGCGTTATCCTGTCCTTGCCCTTGGCGTCAGCTGCACCTCCATGCTGATCATTCTCAAGCTTTAATGTTCAGTTCAGATCCTTCTCCTAGGCTGCAGATAAATACAACTTACTGGTGATTTAATATCTTCATCCAAATTTCCCACAGACCAAAAAAATATCTAATAGTATAAACACCAAACTTACCAGTTTTCTCTCCTCCCCCAAACTTGCACCTCACCTTAATATTCCTTATCCCAGGGATTGACAGCACCCAAGTGTCCAGGGGAGTGATCTTTGATCTCATGGTCTACTTCTTTACCCCCTACCCTAAAACTCTCTCACACACACGCATTTGAGCATGGGTGCCAATACATGCAAACACACATATATCTAACCAGTCACTACTGCCACCAGATCAATTAAAACAAAACAAAATAAAACCTGATTAGATCACTATTCAAATTGAGAAGTTTTCAGTAGCTTATTGATAGTTGTGGATACAATTCAAAGTAAATTGTTTTGCTTGGCCTATAGGGCTGCTCATGATTTGATGTTTGCTTTTCTCACCAGCCTGAACTGCTACCACTCCTATGCTCCTTTGCATTTTCACCATCTATCCATTTGCCCGAGTGTCTCCAGATAGAACAGCTCTTCTCACCTATATGCCTTGGTCCCTGTTGGAACCTCTGCTTGGAATATCCTCCCTTTAATCTGTGTGAAAGTCCTAGTAATTGTTTATGCTTCTTTAAGGTTCAGTCTTGTCCAGCTCCTGTAGGCAGTCTAAGGTGGTCCCTATATTTGTATATACTTGGTCAGTGTTTGTAATTGTTTTCATGTCTTTCTCACTGTGAACTCTTTGAAGGCAAGAAGCAAGTCCTGGTCATTCTTCTTTTTTCCATTGCTCAGATATGTATTCTTTAAATGTTTATTGAATGGATACATTTATAGGGTCTTTCTGGGCAGAAACATTAGTCCTTAAATATTTGCTACGTGCCTTCATATGGGAACAGGAAGAGGCGGTTGGGGAGCATGACAGTGGGTTTACATCCTCAGTACACGTGCCTCTTTTCCATTTTACCCATGCTTTGGGGATTGATGATATCAGGATATTTGCTTTCTAAAATAAATAGATGCATGAGAGATAGTAACCTGTAAAAGATCCCCTTAGCTGGAGCTTTGTCTCCAAACCACAAAATAAACCCAGTGAGTTAGCCTGGGCATGTGCAGAATGCAAATGCCTAGGCCTATGGAGCCTAGAGCTTGGATCCCGAGTGATCTTGTGGCCTCCATGAAAAGAAAGAACAAAAGCAGCCAAGCCATCCCCCTTCCCTTTTCTGGAACATCTTATCTCACCATGATAGGAGAATTGAATAATCTTGCAAAGAGATAAGAGAGGAGCAGATGGGGGAAAACTTTTCTCTGTAGCCAAGAGGTGGCAAGAGATGGAGTATCAGGAGTGACAGACTATGCTCTAGCCTTAGTTGCCAGTCAGTACTTTGAATCTTGACTATTCTATAGCAGTGACATTTCTCCTTGGGAGCCAGGTAGCCATGTCATGTGGCCAACGACATATGCTCAAGGCCTGATTTTGAAACAGAATTGAGAGCACCTTATATTCCAATTTATTTCTGACCTTAATAACTTGTGATCTGGGGAAAAGGGATGGGTGAAAAGGCAAGAAGAAATATGTGAAGAAATTGTTGACTCCCATTTGACAGATGTAAACATTGAAGCAGAATAAGATTGATTTGTCTAATGATTAAGGCCTAAGGAATCAGAGCCAGTATTTTAATCCAGTTCTAATTCCAGAGTCGATGCTCTTTTTCACTAAGGCATTGATAATATATGCTATTTCAGAAAAAATAGATTATGAAAACACTAGACTAACCTCACTTTCTATTTGACTGTGTGGCTTTAGCTCTCACATGGTATGTGCCTATGTGGCCTATGAACTAATAAAAGCAACATGTTTAGTTATTAAGCAAATGTTTGATTGTTCCTTTAAATGCATTGTTGTAGCATTTCTGATCCTTTCATATATCTCTCCTAATATCCAGGTACTATTGGGTGTTTATTATCTTCTCTCTAACTGAAATGGCATAAAATCTGACCGTGTCAATTTAGCCATTATTCAGCTAGCTGATAAGGAATGAAGGAAAAACAGTCTCCTTGGCATCTTTGATTGCTTACAGCAGCCAAACTAATTAACTTGATAATAGCTTGATAATTCCCAGAACTCCTCAGGGATTTTTTATCTGGCCACATGGGTGGACAAGGGAAGGTGTCACAGACACCTCCCTGAGGAAGTTACTTAAAGGTTTGGTGGGAACCAGTCTAGATGATGAGGTGGAGGATAGGGGTGGGAGCAGCATTGCAAGTTGAGGAACCAGTATGTAGGAAGGTCTGGAGTAGAGAGAAGTGGGGTGTCTAGAACTTCCGGGAAGAGTGTTTCAATATGTACATGTTTCTAATACAGCATTTATTATGCTGTTTTGTATTCCCCCCCAGACTATAAGCTCCTTGATAACAGAAATTATTTTATTTTGGTTGTAGATATAGCATCTAGTATGAGTTTAGTAATTTGATGATCAAGTGAACAAAGTCTCTTCCCACAGGGGCCTAGTTCAGAGTAGGGGATGGAAAAGAATGTTATTATGGGTCTTAGCCACATTCTCAGTGGTTAGAGCATCAGCCTTTGGACTGAAGGATCTCAGGTTCATTTCCCGGTCAAGGGAACGTCCCTTGGTGCACGATCCCCAGGCCCATCTGGTCATGTGAATGTCTCTTCCCCTTCCTTCCACACTTTCTAAAAAATCAGTGGAAAAATATCCCTGGGTGAGGATTAACAAACAAAAACCAAAAATAAATACAAAAAATAAGTAATTATTATTATGGAATAAAGTAGTGACTTAAGAACTTTGTTTGTTTTTTTAATCCTTACCCAAGGACATGTTTTTATTGTTTTCAAAGGGAGAAGAAAGGTGAGGGAGGAGTAGGAGAGAGAGAGAAATATTGATGTGAGAAAAATCAATCAGTTGCCTCCTAGATATACCCCGACCAAGGATCGAACTCACAACCTGGGTATCTGCCCTGACTGGGAATCAAATCCATGACCCTTTGGTGCACAGGATGATGCTCCAACCAAATGAGCCACAAAGGCCAGGGCTAAAATGAAATTTTATGCAAAAGACATGATACATACTGCATTATAATATTGTGTGGGAGTTGATTCTTAATCTCTTCTGATAACTTTCCATCCAATGCCTCCACACATTTTACTTTTATTGTTTCCTCTGCCTATTTATACCCACTTGCCTAATTCCTATTATCTTTCTTTCAGATATTAGTTATAAGTTTTAATTGAAGTGAAGAATCATTTCAAAAAAGGAAATCAATTAGGGCTATGGAATAAAGTGACCTCTGGAGACAGTCCCATTAAGTTAATACAAGATATTGGGTGGAAAGTCCCAAGAGGTTAAAAAAATGGGGGGAAGGGGTTACTGTTCATGAGCATGAGTTCCAGAGGGCACATTTTTTGTTAATATAGACATTTTAGCATGGTAGAGTTGTATTGTCTGTGTTGGAATTTCAGCTGTCATTTACTAGTTGTGTGACCGTGGACAAGTTTCTTAGTCTGGAAAATAGGGATTTTCTACCTCATAGCAATGTTTTGAGGATTGTTTGAGTGCTATCACATAGGAAGTATATATAAGTACTTACTAAATAAGAAGTGTCTCTATCAGACTTACCTGTATATTTAATACATAACTCTCCTAATGCCTACCTACCATTTCCTCTCCTCCTCCAATGATTACTATTATCCTAATTAAAACTTTATTATACACTCAGTGGAGCCAGTCCTCTCTATACATGTTTTGTTAAAGGAGAAACTTTTTCATTAGGTTGTAACTCTGACTTAATCACTTGGTAAAGTATATTTTAAATGTCTTTATCTTATGAATTTTATTTTAGCTGTTAAACGTTTAATGAAAGAAGCGGCAGAATTGAAAGATCCAACAGATCATTATCATGCACAACCTTTGGAGGTTAGTTTCTGTCTCCATCTTCTACATACGGATTTTAATATTTTAAACAAATTCCTTAAAATTGTTTTTTCATTGCTTTGATTCATTACAGATGTGTTTGATGTGGTTTATTAGTATATTTTACTCCGAGTATTTCCTGAATGGCTAATGTCCCATTAGCCATTCAGAATCAGACATTTTACAAGAAGCAGATTTCTGGCCTCTATAGAATGGGTCTCAGATGCTAAATTGGTTTTAGGTCTTGAATATGAGGGAGGGGAAGTGGAAAGAACCCAATGCTTTTTACAGTTTGGAAGACCTGGCCCCTTGAGGGATCTCTGCAGCTAGTCTGGGCTTTTTGTATAAACATCTCTAACTCTCTTCGTCTTCTTATCTGTAAAAGGAGGGTTTTTAAATATGCTTAGTCTGGTTTCCATGGTAATAGTGAGAATAAAATGTAATAATGTATGCACAGTTTGCAAAATGTAAAGTACTTGGTAACTAAGATGTTGTTAGCATATGTATTAATATTATTAACCTTATAAGTAAGTGTTTAGGTATCTTTAAGGGTTAATTTTAAAAGATTAAAATTAGTCCTTAAACATTAGTCCTTAAATATTTGCTACGTGCCTTCATATGGGAACAGGAAGAGGCGGTTGGGGAGCATGACAGTGGGTTTGTTAAAATAATCCAAATTTTTATTAATTATTTGATTATACAGTTGACCCTTTTTCTCACCCAATAATATTTCTAATAGTCATTTAATTAAAATGGTCAAACTTTAATATTACTGATGTCTTGTTGGTTATTGTTTTTGTTCAGGATAATCTTTTTGAATGGCACTTCACAGTTAGAGGGCCCCCAGATTCTGATTTTGATGGAGGAGTTTATCATGGACGAATAGTACTACCACCAGAGTATCCCATGAAACCACCAAGCATTATTCTTCTAACGGTAAGGATTCTTGGCTTTTTGAAATGCTTGTGGTTTAACTCTTCATGGTGGCTGCAAAATATGGTCAACATACTCATTTTTATTAAGAAATAAAGTAGGCCCTGGCCGGTGTGGCTCCGTTGGTTGGTCATTTTCCTGTGCACTGAAAGCTTACCAGTTCGATTCCCAGTCAGGGCACATGCCCGGGTTGTGGGCTCTATCCCTGGTAGGGGGCGTGCAGGAGGCAGCGGATTGATGTTTTGCTCTCACATCAATGTTTCTCTCTCTCCCTCTCTCCAAAAATATTATTTTTAAAAAAGGTTTTAAAAAAGAAGTAAAGTGGCTGCTTTTGGGAACCAGGTCTTGGTACTATAATCTCCCCCCCCCCCAAAAAAAATAATTTATAGGAATTATTTATTTTTATTGTTGAGAGAGATGGGGGGAGAAGGAGATATTGTTCCACTTATGTATGCATTCATTGGTTTATTCTTATATGTGCCCTGACAGGGAATTGAACACCAACCTTAGCATATTGGGATGATGCTGTAACCAACTGAGCTACCGGGCCAGGGTTATAGGAATTCTTAATGCTAATGAATGTATAATTACCATAGTATGGTTGTTAGAATTCAGTGAATTAATGTATGCAAAATGCTAGGCACAGTATCTGGCACATGGTAAGTACTCAGTAAAGGATTGTTAATGTTATTGTACCTCTTAATCACATCATCTCCATTTAAACTCTCATTTTTCATGTGTAGCTCTTAAAATAGAAGTGACAGAGTCCTCAATAAATGATTGCTATATTATTACTTATACCTTAGAATTTCTTTCTACATCCACATATTTTATCTCCATGTGAAGCAAAATGATTAATTTTTTCTTCTTTTTCCTGAGACATGTTCCAACAGTAAATTCCTCTCTTAATTGTTAAGCTTTCCTTCCCTCATTTCCTTTTATTTACAAGTGTGTTTGATTACCCCCAACCTTGAAAAAAAAGCAAAAACTAAATATAAACACCTTTCTTTATCTCTGCTCACTACTCTATGTATTGTTCTGTTTTTTCTTTGCTAGCCTTCAAGGCATCTTTTACTCTAGCTTGGCTTGCTGCAGTCTGGTTTCCACACACGCTCACAGCACTAATCTCAAAGACCAGTTTGAGAAATCCCACTGTCTCTTCTCAGTCTTTATCCTATTCCATCTAAGTTAAACCTGACGCTCACGGGGTAGCAAATAGTGAAAGAAAAGGTACTAATTAATAAATACCAAGTTAATGCTGCTTTTTACCTATATTTGATGTAGTGAAAAGAGCATTAGTTTAGAGCCAGTAGACCTGGATTCTGACCAGTGCTATTTCTGTTACACCACAGGCAGGTTACATAGTCTCTTTGAAATTTAGTTTTCTCATCTGTCAAAAGGGTTGTATATGGTAAATATAATCACACTTTATAAAGTTCCTCATATATAGAGGTTGCTTAACAAATATTAGATGATATTTAGAATCAGTAATGCTGGCAGTAGGGTTGAAGCAGGGTCTTGGAGGGGCCCAATGTGTTAGGAGTCACTTTTTTTTGCTAGATCATGGTGAGAGCCAAGTGGTCTATGGGGAGGGGCTGGTGCATGGGGAAACTGGTGGGGTGGGTAGTTGGAGTAGCAGCTTTTCACCAGTAGGTACAGAAATATTGAAATATTTCAAGAGTTAACCAATGGTATCGTTCATATTTAGCACAGTGGCTGAGAATCAATCGTATCCTCCTGGTTTTCAATATTTGCTTTTTCTGGTTCACTTCCTCTCTTTTGAAAATGTTCCTCTCTTTTCCAACCTTCATTCAACAAATAATCATTAAACACATGTCATTCACTCTGTGGGTGCGACAGAGAATAAGTCAAATTCTCTGACCATATGAAACATATATTCTAATTCATGCCTCTTCTCCTTCCCCTTTCCCTAAGTATGGATATTCTACAAGTTCAGACTTCAACGGTTTTGATTTTCTATGAAATGGCTTTAGTAATCACCTCTCTAAAGTCAGGTACCAAAGATGTATATCCTCTTCTGCTATCACCATGTCTATAATTCTACCTGCCTGCTGGACATCAGTAGCTCTTCTCCCAAGAAAATAGATTCATGTCCAAAGCTGAAATTATTATCTCTGATCTTTCTACTTTGTGTTCCTCTCTTATGAAATTGTATCATCATTCTGAAAATCACTCCCACCTCAGAGCCTTCCTCACCAATATCTAGAAGATGATATCAAATCCTTACGTTTTATCCCAGTCTCTGTACGTCTTCTATTTTAGATTCTTCACAGAGCCTAGAATACTAGGCACATAGGAGGACATCAGGACATCTTTATCAGTTATTTAGATTTCAGTTGTGTAATTCAATTTCAAAAAAGTGCTTCAACTTCTAAAAATAGTTTATATTATTCACTTAGAATCCAACAAATATTTGTGGAGTGTCAATTAGAGGACAAAAATCTGTATCCCCTTAGAGATTACATTTTTTAAAAATTATCTTTAAAATTTATTTTTATGTAAAAATATTTATACTTATAAAGTCTAAAACATTAAACACATCTAAAATTTTTAAATGCCTTATTTATTCCTAAGGCTAATGGACGATTTGAAGTAGGCAAGAAAATCTGTTTGAGCATCTCAGGACATCATCCTGAAACTTGGCAGCCTTCATGGAGTAGTGAGTACTAATTTAAAGTGAATATATCTTATATAACTGTAGTCAATTCATAATTATAAAGTATAATACCTTCTTGAGATTGAAGCTGTTTTTGATAATTTTATTATTTAATAAATAATAAAAATGCTTTTTCTTGTCTAGATTTTGGCCATCATTTTACTACAACCCTCCTAACCTGTACCTCTTCAGTGAAAGACTGTCTTTTTTTCTCTTTTCAGAGTAAACCGGTTCCTTTTACAAAGCAATTTAGATTGATGTTTACTTTTTATTTCAGTAAGAACAGCATTGTTAGCCATCATTGGGTTTATGCCAACAAAAGGAGAAGGAGCCATAGGTTCTCTAGATTACACACCTGAGGAAAGAAGAGCACTTGCCAAAAAGTAAGTTTTGCATTTCATTCTTTGTTAAGACCCAAATATTATTCTGGAAAATGGCTATTAGGAAACAGGCTCTGCCTCTTACTTTGTGAGTTACCTTTGCTATAGGTTCTAGCCTTAGTTTTGCTATTTTAGAAATTCAGTTGTACCAGTTTACTCAGTGTTCACCTGAGTCTAAAGAATTGATTATAGAAAGTAGTTAATATCAACCTACAGTGGGAGATATCTTCTCCTATAAAATAGGACAGGTCATTCATCTCCACTTAGACAGTAATAAAGATGGAAAAGAACTAGAGCCATTTTTTTATGGAAAAGAACCAGAGCCATTTTTTTATGTAGCTTTTCACAAGATTAAAAACTTCTTGAGAGCTGAAGGAAATCCACTTTTCCATGTTTGTATCTATAGTACCTGGCTCATAGCAAGTGGCTCAATAAATGATCTGGAAAAAGAAAATGAGATTTTATTAAGTTGTCATTTCCCATTGGTATTGCTTTCTGTTTTTCCCAGGTACATTCTGTCTATATAACCTGGATTAGTTATTAGATTTAGAGTATTCTCTTCTTTGAGTAGTGCTAAGACTAATTCTAGATTTTGATCATTTTTTAAAAAAATATATATTTCAGAGAGGAAGGAAGAGGGAGAGATAGAAACATCAATGATGAGAGAGAATCATTGATTGCTGCCTCCTGTATGCCCCCTACTGGGGATCATGCCCGCAACCTGGGCATGTGCTTTGACTGGGAATTGAACCGTAACCTCCTGGTTCAACCACTGAACCATGCTGGCCAGTCTTGATCATTTTCTTGTTCTGGACTTGGCTGCCTACCACTCTTCAAACATATTTTATGAATTAAATTATACAGGGGTGGGCAAAAGTAGGTTTACAGTTGTAAGGATGTGGAAGTTTGTTTTTGTATTATTATTTATTAATTATTATTTTTCATACGAACAACTATAAACTTACTTTTGCCCACCTATAGTATATCTTACTCTGGAACAGCCTGGAATAGGCCCTCTACACATGTTTGTTAAATCAAAGAGATCTTAGTGTTTGGAAGATTTGGAAGACTCCTTGGTATCTTTTTAAATCTTATTCTCAAGTTGTGGGCATATACCTTACTTGCAGCTACTATTCACAAATTATAATATGTACTTTGAATACATGACATTTGTTTGATTTTTTTATATTGGCTTTCTGTCTTGATACTTTTATCTAGTTCATGAACAGATAAAAAAAGAATTAGTTTTTTTTTTGTTCTAGACTTGTCAGTGTTTATATTCTAGGTTCTTAGTCTGTATTAGAGGCTTTTTAAAAACCAGATTTTGCATTTAACCATGGTAAATTACTATTTTTCTGGATAGACTAATATATTCAAAATAAACATTTTCCTTTAATTTTCATCTGACTTCTCAGTTAAAAGTGGACACAGTTTATGCCCAGCCAATGTGGCTCAGTGGTTGACCATCGACCTATGAACCTGGAGGTCATGGTTCTTTTCCCGGTCAGGGCACAGGCCCAGGTTGTGGGCTTGATCCCCAGTGTGGGGTGCTCAGGAGGCAGCCGATCAATGATTCTCTCTCATCATTGATGTTTCTCTCTCTCCCTCTTCCTTTCTCTCTGAAATCAATTAAAAAATATATATTTTTTAAAGTGGACACATTTTGCCTGGCTGATGTGGCTCAGTAGTTGAGCATCAACCTGTAAACCAGGAGGTCGTGGTTCCATTCCCAGTCAAGTCACATGCCTGGCTTTCAGGTTCGATCCCCAGGAGAAGGCGTGCACGAGGCAGCTGATGAGTGATTCTCATCATTTGCGTTTCTTTCTCCTTGTACTTTCCTCTCTGAAATCAATTAAAAAATATAAATAACAAAAGTGGACACATTTTAAGGCAGATTTTGGGATATAATTGATTCTCTAAAGCAGCGGTTGCCAACTGTTGGTCCGTGAGGTCTGAAAGGTTGGCGATTGCTGCTCTAAAGGGTATGGATAGCAGTGCCGCTTCTGGTGAAACAAAAAAAAATATATTCATCAATAAATACTATATTAATAGTACTTTGACATATATTTTATTTTCATGAAGCTGTTCAATAAATTTAAGTACCATGTTCTTCAAGACCTAAGGATTTTATTACATTGACCTAGATGTACAGTAAAATAGTTTTTTAAAAATATGGTCTTATTGATTTTTAGAGAGAGGAAGGGAGAGAAATAGAGATAGAAACATCGATGAGAGACAAATATCATCGCTTGGCTGCCTACTTCATGCCCCCTACTAGGAATCTAGTCCGCATCCTGGGCATGTGCCCTGAGCAGGACTCCAACTGGTAACTTTTTGGTTCCTGGGTTGACACTCAACCATTGAGCCACACCAGCCGGGCTATAATAATACAGTTTTTAAAAGGAAGTTCAGCAATGTAATAATACATATTTTTATATAAGATACATAACATACTTATTTCTGGTCATATAAATCCTCAGCACTCTTGTGAGTTTTAGGCACTTTTTGGCTATATCTGGAATACAGAGGAGGAAATGAAAACATAGAAAAACAAAGAAATCTTAGGAAAGTCTAGTTAACAGATTAAGTATCTACCTAATATAATCAGTGATAAATTTCAGTCTGGATATTCCACGAGTTTTTTTGCTTTTCAAGTTGTACTGCTATTTAGATTAATAGGATTTGTGAGGTTTTTATTCCCCTGGAAATACCTGTAAATTCTATTTTTTTTTAAATATATATTTTTATTGATTTCAGAGAGGAAGGGAGAGAGATAGAAACATCAATGATGAGAGAGAATCATTGATCGGCTGCCTCCTGCACGCCCCCTACTGGGGATTGAGCCCACAACCCAGGCATGTGCCCTGGCTGGGAATCGAACCATGACCTCCCAGTTCATAGGTTAATGCTCAACTACTGAGCTACACCGGCTGGGCTATAAATTCTATTTTTAATTGGCTTCTTTATATATGTTTCTGCTAAAAATAATTTGAGCTTTTTAGTGGACTTTTTCACAGGCTTAACATAGGCTTGTTATATGTGATTTTGAGGACAGGTAGTTAAACAGTTTATATTTTTTGTCATATAAATCTATAGCTTAGTTTTCTTTAGAGAGTATATTAGGAAAATAATGAAATCTAACTCCGTAGTTTAATGTTAGATTTTTAAAATATTGAGATATAATTGATGTGAAATGTTTATACCAACCTAACTTGCGTGTATGTCTCATAACTATAATTGTCTATTTTACATATAGGTAAATGTGATATGGAATTATCCGGTGTTCTTTTCTTTTAAATTTAATCATTCATTGTTTTAATGTCTTGAATTAATATTCACTATTTGATTTGTACTCATCAAAAAAATTATTTCCTACCAGATCACAAGATTTCTGTTGTGAGGCATGTGGCTGCACCATGAAGGATGTCCTGCTGCCTTTAAAATCTGGAAGTGATTCAAGCAAGGCTGACCAAGAAGCCAAGGAACTGGCTAGACAAATCAGTTTTAAGGTACTCTAAATGGATAAATAAATTTAAATTTTGTAGCCCTTTTATTTACTTTCAGAAATAAACTAATTTAGTTCTAGTGCAATAATGTTTTTACAAATAATTTTATCACAAAACTAATACATTCACAAAGGCATTATAATTAGTGGTTAAAAGTTTGGACTCTGTGGGGGGGCTGTCAATTGGGGAAAAAGGAGACATGTAAAACTGTAGACAATAAAAAAAAAAAAGTTTGGACTCTAGTATACAATGCCAGGGTTCAAATCCCAGCTTTGCTGCTTAGTAGTAGTAGGACATCAGACACATTACTTAGACCCTTCATGCTTTTTACTCACCTGTAAATATTAACAGTATGGTAATTATCTTGTGGGATTCTTACGAGGATTAAGTGAGTTAATACTTAACTTTAATGTATTGCATTTATAACTGTCCCTGGTGCTTAATAAGTGTTAGCTATTATTATAGAAAATATAGATAAGCAATTAGAAAATAACAATTATATAATCCCAGCCCCCCAAAATAAGTGCTGCTATTATTTTGGCATATCTCCCTTATAACCTTTTTTTTCACATATATTTTACCCAAACATATAAATACTTCTATAGTTTAATTAGCTCCATAAAATAATGTCAGCCTGCATTAAGCAACATGTTACCTGTCCCTCTTCTCTACCTCTCTACATCCTGTCTGTCCTTCTAAGGTCCAGTTTTTGGAGAAATTTTTCTTTCTGTTTTATTGTGCCTGAAAGAGGAGGTGCTTAATAAGTGTTGGTTACAATTCTTCCTTCTGAAGATTCCTATTGTATATAAAATTGCTTCTCTGAAAATCTTAGGGCCAGATGTGTTTTCTACTTCAGAATTTCAGATTTTAGAAAATATCAAACATATACCATATATTAACACTCATTGAGACCTGGGGCAGTACCCCATAATCAAATTCATAAATATTTCATCAGCAAACCTGGGAATATCTACACCAACGTGGAATAAAGACTGTTAATAGCCTCACATGTCAGGCTTTGCCTGAAAATTACAAAATACTTCAGTGTTTAGAGATTTTTGAAATTGTGGATTGAACCGTGGGTGTTAGTTTTGTCTCTCACCAAGTAACATCTCCCTGAACAGGGAATGTCTGTGGGTCTTTCTGTAATATCTAGCATAGTGTTGGACACATGAGTTCTCAACACTTAACTGATTGATATTGACATTAAAGTACCAATTAAAATAAATCTAAGAAAGGGAATTTAGGTAGGTTGTGGGTTGGTTTGTATATTCCCTTTTATAATACCGCTCTTGGGTGTTACCTTTTTTATAGGCAGAAGTCAATTCATCTGGAAAGACTATTGCTGAGTCGGACTTAAACCACCCTTTTTCACTAAATGATTTACAGGACAATATGCCTACCACATTCCAGGGTGCTACAGCAAGTACATCGGTATGGTTCTTGTCTTTTACATATGTATATATCTATACCATTATCATTATTTGCAATAGGAATGGAGATCCCTAGAGGAAATATCTGATTATTTTGGATACTAGCCCAGCTCTCCCTCTAATGAATTTTGTTTTCTTGAGCAAGTTATTCATACTTTCTGGGCTTTCTTTTTTTGTTAAATGGGGTTGGGCTAAATAATTTTAAGTTCTATTGTCCGTCCAGAATTCTATGATTTCTCTGAAAAGTTAGTTTTAATATAGTGCTACAGTCAGAATAAAGCAATATACATACATTAACCACTTTCTAAATAGGCTGTCTTTGGAGCAAAAGATTTACCTTAGACCTGCTCTGTCCAATGTAGTAGCTACTAGCCAATGTGGCTATCTAAATATATATTTGAACTAGAGGCCTGGTGCATGAAATTCGTGCAAAGGTAGGGTCCCTAGGCCTGGCCGGTGATTAGGGTTGATCAGGGCCTTCCATATTGGCTGCCGGCTGGGGCCTTCTTTCCTAATGGCTACCATATTGGACAGCACAGATATCGAACATTATCATCATTGCACAAAGTTCTACTGGACAGTGCTGCCTTATGCATAGTTAGTGTCCAATAAATAATTATTGAACAAAATATTGAATGCTATGGCTGTTGTTAGTTGTGCCCTGATCTATTTTCTAAATTTGGGGCGGGGGGTAGGAGGGCTTATGTCATTAGAGAAACTGATTAAGAAAATGTGTGACTGAATTGTTGCTAAATAATTAGGATTATGGGGACTTTATATAGTAAGATGAACCGTCTTTTGGGTGGTTTTTTTTTTTTTTTTTTTTTTTTTTTTGGTAACAGGTTGTTTGATGGAGTAGCCAAATTTCTATTATCCCTCCAGTTTTCAGAGGTTTTAGAAGGTGAGGAAAATTAGAATAGAAACTGGGCAAATCAGATTTACCCTTTGTTCAGGAATAACTTACTGTAAAGTGTGACTAAATAGTGTTGAGTGGCTCTCTCCTATGGAGAGAGTGAGATGGCAGAGAAGTAGATTGGAGAAAGCAGGGGAGAGGCTGCTTGGAAGGAAGAACTACTTGGAGGACTGGAGAAGGGAGTACTACAAGAAAAAAATGTATGTTGAGAGTTAAATTGTTTTTACATGATCTCCATGTGATTTTATAAATTGTAGAGGAATATAATGAATTTATTTAGTCAGTGTATGTTTTTTCATCTTCAAAATTGAAATTGTTTTCTTTATTTCATAAATAGTTTTTTAGTAAAAAAAAAAAAAAAGCCCTGGCTAGTGTTCTCAGTGGTTAGAGCATTGGCCTAAGCACCAAAGGGTCAGTGGGTTCCACTCCTGGTCAAGGGCATGTACCTGGGTTGCAAGTTCAATCCCCACCCCTGTCAGGGCAAGTGTGGGCGGCAGCCAGTGTATCTCTCTCACATCAATGTTTCTCTCACTCTCTCTCTCCCTCCCTCCCTCCTTTCCTCCCTTCCACTCTCTAAAAATCAATGGAAGAAATATCCTCTGATGAGGATTAACAACAACGAAAAGAAAAAAAAACAACCCACATCCTATTATACAGAGAGGAAGGTGGTAATCTTTGTTTCACCTATAAGGACAATCTCCTAATATTTATGATGTGTTTACATTTATCTTTAGTTTATTTTAAATCTGTGTCAAGTTTCCCTGTTGCATATTCTAGTTATACTTATTCCAATTGTAATTTATTTTATAATTAACTATTGTCTAATAGTTAATTATAAAATAAATTACAATTGGAATAAGTTCCTTGAGGATCAGGATTGTGTCCGCAAAGCCTAGCATAGTGCCATGTATATAGTAGGTGGTAAATATATAGTTGTTGATTAAATAAACAAATTTTAGGATTAGTACTTGGAAATCTAGGAGTACAGGTAAAGAAATCAAGAAGTTTTAAGTAAATTAGCATAAATAATGTTATAAGTACAATTGTTTTTTTTCATTTTTATTTTAAAGTACATAAAACTTAGACTTATTTCATAGATACCAATTCTGGTTAAAATACAAGCAATAAATTGTCTACAATTTGTGAGTTAAGCTTTTAATTACATTTACATACAAATCTCAGTGTGATTATATGATTTGATTACTATGGAGGTAACTGAAACCTGGTTTTGGCTCAGGTGGCTGCTTTACATGCAAGTGTAATATAATTCACTGAGATGTTACACATCAAATTCCAGATAAGCTGTTTTTAGCTTTGAGGGGGCGAGAGATTGCCGAAAGTCTAAATACAGCAGATAGCATTAGGCCATCTGTTGCTTGTTCATGCATATTTTTTAGCCATGTAGAAATAGGAAAAATACTGATAGTAGTTTTATGTTCTTCCAGTCTGTCAAATTTTTCCCTTTTCCAAAAGATTGAGGTTCTGAATAAGCCATTCCAGTTTGTAGTAAAGAGCAAACACAAAACTCTTCATATGATGATTATTCCAGGTTATTATAGAAAAATTTATGTGATTTATCTGTGCCTGTGCTTTTTAAAAAATATTTGAATTTAATTAAATTAAATAAAACATCACATTCGTCCACCTTTCTAGAAATGGTTGCTTCAGAAGATGGAAACTATTCTGTGATATATGTTTGAACAAGTTTAGGCAAACAGCAAGGATTTAGAAGTCCTACCACCAATCTTAAAGCATTTTGAAAATGCTAAAGTCCACTTGATTCTCCATCTGGCAGTTCAATATGAACTGCAAAAATTTAGTCCAATTAGTTCTTCAACTCTAAATAAACTAGGTTCTCAGGATCAGGTTACAGTTTTTCCTTGATGTGATTATTTTAAATAGAAATTTTAGAAATTTATAACACTGTAGCACTAGCTTTTAGTCAGTTATTATCTAAAATGTAACAGAAAATATAGAACCTAATTAAAATAGTATATCTATATAAATATTTCCATTAAGTACATGTACTAAAATATGACCTAAAGTCAATGTTTTAAGGGATTGTTGTTCTAACTATATTAATCATATGTATAAAGGTCCAAACAGCTATTCTAAGTCATGACTTTTTTTAAGCCTAAATCTGGTATCTCCAAAGGAATATATTAATAGTAATGATGTTAATAATAACTAATATTTACTAAGCAATTGTTTATCCTAAGCACTTTATATCATTATCCTGTTTAATCCTCACAACTACTGAATTGAATATTAGCCTCATTGCACAGATGTGGGAGCTGAGATTAAATGACTTGTTTAGTGTCACATGTTTACAAAGTGGTAGAGCTTTCCTAATAATGATAAGGTTTTCTATTTAGTCAGGTATATGGGCAGGTACAATGCCCATGTCTATTTTAGTCAGGTAAAATGTTTTCCCCTCAAACTAATGGAAAATAATAACATATCTATATAATAAAAGCCTAATATGCTAAGTGTCCAGTCGTTCGATCTTCCGTTCAATGAAAGTGTAATATGCTAATGATATGCTAAGGCCGCCCAACCACTCACTATGACGTGCACTGACTACCAGGAGGCAGACACTCTGACCAGTAGGTTAGCTTGCTGCTGGGGTCTGGCTGATCAGGATTGAGTGAGACAGGCCGGACACACCTTGGAGCCCTCCTGCAGTCCCTTCCTGGCTGGCCAACCTCCTGCATCCCTCCCTGGCCCCGATCGTGCACCAGTGGGGTCCCCCAGCCTGGCCTGTGCCCTCTCGCAATCTGGGACCCCTTGGGGGATGTCAGAGAGCCAGTTTTGGCCGATCCCAGAAGCCAGGCCGAGGGACCCCTCTGGTGCACGAATTCGTGCACCGGACCTCTAGTATAAAATAAAACCTTTAAGCTGAGTCAATCTCTTGTGCTACTTTCCGGATTGATAGGACCTCATGTTTTTTATTTTCCTTAACAACCCATCTTCCTTTATAAGCCTTTAGTGCAGTGGTTCTCAACCTTCCTAATGCTGCGACCCTTTAATACAGTTCCTCATGTTGTGGTGACTCCCAACCATAAAATTATTTTTGTTGCTACTTCATAACTAATTTTGCTACTGTTATGAATCGTCATGTAAATATCTGATATGCAGCATGTATTTTCATTGTTACAAATTGAAAATAATTAAAGCATAGTGATTAATCACAAAAACAATATGTAATTATATATGTGTTTTCCGATGGTCTTAGGCGACCCCTGTGAAAGGGTCGTTCGACCCCCAAAGGGGTCGCGACCCACAGGTTGAGAACCACTGCTTTAGTACTTTTGCTCTATCAGATACTTTTATCTTGCCTGAGCAATTGAAAGAATGGCAGATTTCAAATAGAATGTTTTATTGGCAACTGTAACTCAGTTCAACTCACTGAGTATTATTAAGTCACTACATGACGCCTAGGACAATGTAAGACCTCATAAAATGCTGCAGCTTTGTGTATCTCAGTGATGGTGAACCTTTTGAGCTCGGCGTGTCAGCATTTTGAAAAACCCTAACTTAACTCTGGTGCCGTGTCACATATAGAAATTTTTTGATATTTGCAACCATAGTAAAACAAAGACATATTTTTTAATATTTATTTTATATATTTAAATGCCATTTAACAAAGAAATATCAACCAAAAAAATGAGTTTGCGTGTCACCTCTGACACGGGTGTCATAGGTTCGCAATCACTGGTGTATCTGCTCTCTTCAGTGAGCAGATTATATCTGGGAGTTGTGGAGTATGGAAGTCCAAGTTCATGCAGTTTAATTCACTATTAGTACTAACATATTTTTAACTCAAATTCAGTAGTTCTTTTCTACTGCTGTGTTATGCGTCACTACATTTGAGTGCTTCCAAAGGATAGTTTTAAGAAATATAGATTATTTAAGCCTTTTAATGCTGAGATGAATGTCAGATTTAAAATGTAATTTCTTCTGCAGGTAACTGAGATGAGCAATTTTTCCCCCTAATGTTTATAGCTGTTGCCAGCACAAAGCCCATCCTTGTACCTTTCTAAAAAAGTATTTGAGTTACATTATTCAGTTCTTTTTTCTTCTAAATATTAAGTTTTTCTCTGATGGAACGTATTTAAAATATTTTATATTTGCTCAGTTTTTAAAGTTATTCTGAATAAAACATGCATTCTTTTTTATTTGAAAGAATGTGTATGGACACTAATATAATCAGTATATACTTGTTTTCAATAAGAGAATTAAAGGCCACTGGGTTGTTACAGGTAGAGTTAAAGTATCTATAGAAATAAAATGGAATTCATATTAAAGAGCTTTCTTGTCTATAAGCTATAATTAAGATTTTGACTCAGTTGGTACCACATTGTGGTTATGCTTTCTTTGATGCAGCAGTCAGTAAAGATAGAAGGCATTTGACATCCAGTATTTTATGAGGAGCAACTAGTGTACCAAAGTAGAAGGTACATCGAATCTCCCACAACTACCTCCACATTTTTCTCAGTACATACCTAAGGAACTCTTGATATCACATAAAGTAACACAATTCAAACATGCAGTAAAGGGTTCTTCTAGACCTGTGTTCAATTCATTTGACAAGAATTGTGAGAAAGGATAAGCCTGGTTGGAAAACCACACCTAATTTTTACAACAATATTGCTGTGAAGAACATATGGTTTGAAATTATTTTCCATGTTCTATGATTGTTGATGGAAGCATGTTGACATAGTCAGATAATATTTAAAGAGGCACACTGTTGAGGGTTGTCTTTTTTGCCATTTAGAATGGCAAATTTTCAAGCAGAAAGTGGAAATCAAATTGCTTCTCTCCTTGACTCTCCTAAAGAAGGGAGGTTACAAATGCCTAGCAAATTCTGTTGGAGTTACAGCTGAGGGAGTATAGAAAGCTGTCTATGGAGAATATGGGTTAACTCTGTCCTTGTCTTATTTTTTCTAGTAAATTCCTCTTCCATTTGTTGAGTAATTGGAATATGTAATATTGCTGGCTTACTCAAAAGGGTAATAGTCTCAACAATTAGATAATTCTTGGTAGTTTTGCCCTCAATCGTGTTTAGTGCTCTATGATTCTTTATACTCTTGAATAGATAATAGGTAATGTATAAATATTCTTTGCCAATTTCAAATAAAATTTCTTAAAATTTTCTAGTATGCAGTCCAGAACCCCTCAGGAGAATCCCTTCAACCACCTGCCCCACCTGTAGCTAAGAATACCTCCATGAGTCCTCGACAGCGCAGGGCCCAGCAGCAGAGTCAAAGAAGGTCGTCCAGTTCACCAGATGTCATCCAGGGCCTGCAGCCCAGAGACAACCACACTGATCATGGCGGATCTGCTGTACTGATTGTCATCTTGACTTTGGCACTGGCAGCGCTTATATTCCGACGAATATATCTAGCCAATGAGTACATATTTGATTTTGAGTTGTAATACTGTTTTGTGTCTTAAGAGCTGTGACTCAACTGCTTCATTAAACATTCTTCATTGGGTATAGTCTAAGAATTGTTTACAAAAATTTTATTTTGTATTTACCCTGCATTCCTTTTTTTTAATCCTTATAAATTCAGTAAAACTATAGCTAGTCATTCAGACTGTGTCCTGCTTAGTTTAAGGGACTGGAAGTGAAGTCCCTTGTCTCATTATATAGCCTGCTTTACAGGGAAATAATATGTTATTTCTCATGCTTCAGCTTCTTTTTATGTAAATTTGTGATAGTTTCTGTATAGCCCTTTTAAATTTTTGGATAAAAGATGGTGTTTTTAAGTTCCAATGAGTATTAGTAGTTAATATAATTTATTCAGTACTCTGTTTCTACTTATATCGAATGATAGAGGGATAAGAGTTAAAAAGGCAAAAACCCCTCCAAAAGCTTACTTCATGGGAAACATTGGGATTACCCATTCTGTGATACACTTTATGTCCTAAACATTGTCAGTGAAAGTTACTATTTCAGTCAAACATTTATGAGGAAATGAGGTTACATCTTGGTTACTGGATTTTACTTGAAGAGGGAATGATGCTTTGTAACCACTTTGATATGTTGTTATTCCATTCTCTCCAAAGAGCACCTAAGATTTAAAAGAAAGAAAGAAAACAATCCTCCATAGATCTTTGTTGGAAGGAAGGAAGGAAGGAAGGAAGGAAGGAAGGAAGGAAGGAAGGAAGGAAGGAAGGAAGGAAGGAAGGAAGGAAGGAAGGAAGGAAGGAAGGAAGGAAGGAAGGAAGGAAGGAAGGAAGGAAGGAAGGAAGGAAGGAAGGAAGGAAGGAAGGAAGGAAGGAAGGAAGGAAGGAAGGAAGGAAGGAAGGAAGGAAGGAAGGAAGGAAGGAAGGAAGGAAGGAAGGAAGGAAGGAAGGAAGGAAGGAAGGAAGGAAGGAAGGAAGGAAGGAAGGAAGGAAGGAAGGAAGGAAGGAAGGAAGGAAGGAAGGAAGGAAGGAAGGAAGGAAGGAAGGAAGGAAGGAAGGAAGGAAGGAAGGAAGGAAGGAAGGAAGGAAGGAAGGAAGGAAGGAAGGAAGGAAGGAAGGAAGGAAGGAAGGAAGGAAGGAAGGAAGGAAGGAAGGAAGGAAGGAAGGAAGGAAGGAAGGAAGGAAGGAAGGAAGGAAGGAAGGAAGGAAGGAAGGAAGGAAGGAAGGAAGGAAGGAAGGAAGGAAGGAAGGAAGGAAGGAAGGAAGGAAGGAAGGAAGGAAGGAAGGAAGGAAGGAAGGAAGGAAGGAAGGAAGGAAGGAAGGAAGGAAGGAAGGAAGGAAGGAAGGAAGGAAGGAAGGAAGGAAGGAAGGAAGGAAGGAAGGAAGGAAGGAAGGAAGGAAGGAAGGAAGGAAGGAAGGAAGGAAGGAAGGAAGGAAGGAAGGAAGGAAGGAAGGAAGGAAGGAAGGAAGGAAGGAAGGAAGGAAGGAAGGAAGGAAGGAAGGAAGGAAGGAAGGAAGGAAGGAAGGAAGGAAGGAAGGAAGGAAGGAAGGAAGGAAGGAAGGAAGGAATGTTGGAAGGAAGGAAGGAAGGAAGGAAGGAAGGAAGGAAGGAAGGAAGGAAGGAAGGAAGGGTTCAAGCCAGGAAATCACTTGGTTTTATTCTAGAAGTTAAGTGAGAGTATCTTAAGATTTGAATGTTTAATCTGCTTTGAATTGTATATCTTTTGAGGTGTATATATGCCTAGCTTTGTAATCACTATAAATTTAATTATTCTGGAATATGCATAATGTTATACTGTTTCTTGTACCATATTAATAGAAAAGCTCAGGGCCCAAGCAATAGTGGTAGAAATTAGAAAAACCTTTACTTGGAATTGTACACCTACACAAAGCCCAAGAAGTAATTTTCCGCGCAAAATCAATATATAACATAGTGCTAGTTAGCTCCACAGACTCTAGTAGACACTTTGACCATCGTAATGCCTAGCGAAAACATCATTACAGAGAAACATTGCCTTCGTTCAGCATGTTCAGTAGCAGCATTGAAGGCACTCTTGAGAGCATTATTAGTGAAGATTTAATTTTTAAATACAGGCAGTCCCCAGCTTTCAAATAGGTTATGCTCTAAAGATGCATTTATAAGTTATTTTTTTTTACACTTCAATGTTGTAAATGTGTTTAGGTTCTAGACCAGTCCACACAAAAAGTTAGTCCATAATGTATCTTGAATAATTTGGGGGATGGTATCCATAAAGTCCTTATGTGGTTTTAACTAACTGAAATTATGGGCATGATAGAAACAATTTGTAAAATGATTTTAAAGGCAAATTTAATTTTTACTTCTGTTATGGGACTTTGGTTCTATAAGTGTCACACAATTTCTGTGTCTCTCTTAATAGCCATTTTTCCTTTAGGTCTGCATTTAAAATAAGAGTATATTGTATACTATGGTATAATACATAATTGTATTAAACTTTAATAAATGAGCATTTTAAAAGTGTTTACAGTTTCTGTTATATCTACAATGAAGGTGGTAAAGTCTAAAAAGCCCAAGGACTTTATGAAGACCTCATATGTTAGGAAAACTATAGGTTACCATTTTAGAACTTTATTGCCACAAGAAAATGCATTCTGAAGTCTTGGTTTAGAACATAAGATATTAAAAATATTGGTTCAGTCATCAGTGGTCTCCTAACAGGTCACTGACCCTGGAAAGCCAGGTAATGTTATCACCAGAGGTGGAAATCCCTGCGCGCTCAGCCTATGTGGGGATGAATCATATGCTAGAAACAGTCTTCCCTCCGTTTCCTCTCAGTCATTCCTTGAGCCAGCCTCTGGAGCTATGTGATCTTGCATGTTTCCATGGGATATAGGAAGTACCTATACTTTCAAATTGACTAAGCCAAGAAATTTTACATTGTGCAGATCCTTTTATGTCCGATTAGCTTCTCTTCCCTCATGTCAATTGGCAGACCACCTTCTTTGTGTTAGGATTTATTTTTAACACCTGATACACGTATCTAAAAGTGACATCCTTTATGCTCCTTTCCTTTCAGCTTAAATATGTTACTTAAAATCCTTAAGTTGTCAGTCTGGCCTCCATTGTGGAGTTCATGAGCAAAATTGATCTTTGGGGCCATTTTAATTCACACTCCACTGATGGGCCTCTTCAATAAACTAATTTTTAAAGCCCCACTTTAACCCTTTACTTACAGCATAACCAGATGCATGATCTGGCAGGTAAAGGCTTGGGACTCATTCTTTCCCCAGTCTTCAGATTTATGTAACTCAGTGACTTTTTCTTTGGCCAACATAGCACATGGCTATATACTAAGGTAGTTCAAATTAGCATGCTTGAAGAGATATATAATGTCTGTTTCACCTGTAACTGTTTAAACAAATGAAACCTTTCAGATTTTATGTATTGTGGGGCTTTTATGTAGCACTTTACATTTTCATGCTGCTGATTGTTTTTATTCTGAAATAAATGAATTTCATCAAAATTCTCGACTATTTTTTTTAAAGCCTTTAAAATTTCATTATTTTGACTATGGAAATATACAATTTCTATTTCAGGAGGATAAGAAATCTTTTTGTTATTTTAAGCTATGAATAAACTTTCTGGCATTTTGAGACCTCCCATTTTTATAGACCAGAATCCTATATAATAAAAAGGTAATATGCAAATCGACAGAACGGTGGAATGACCGGTTTCTATGTTGTGCACTGACCAACAGGGGGCAGATACTCAACACAGGAGCTGCTCCCTGGTGGTTAGTGCACTCCCACAGGGGGAGTGCTGCTCAGCCAGAAGCCACCTCCATCAGCCAGGAGCCTCTCCCACCTCCGCAGCAGTACTAAGGATGTCCAACTGCAGCTTAGGCCAGCTCCCTAAGCTGTCAGTCAGACATCCCCCAAGGGCTCCCAGACTGCGGAAGGGCACAGGCTAGGCTGAGGAACTCCCCTCCCCCCACCACCCGGAGTGCATGAATGTCTTGCACCGGGCATCTAGTCAGTAAATAAGCAAACCTCACACATTTAGACTTAATTGAGCAGAAACCTAGGCTGAAGTACTGAAAAGCCTATATTGTTTTATTACATGCAAATAAGTATATGAAAGGCAAATGCATTTAGTGAACCTGACTTAGCAATAATGTGTACATTAACGTACACTATGAAAGCCTGTGGGAGGCTGTACATTGCTCAAAAACTGTTTGGAACTCTTTAACAGTTGCCTTCAGAACTAGTTTGAACTGCTCAATAAAACCAGTGACTTTATTCATACCTTGTTTGACCAAAGGTGGTATTCTTTATGTCATCTGGTCTTCTGTCCATTTTATGTCCTTGAATATTTTCTCCCATCTTTTCACCTCATGCTCACTGCTTTCCCTAATTAGCCATCATCTCCTCTGAATCAGTGCAGTAACTTCTACCAGGTCTCCACTCTTGCCCCATTCCTGACACTGCAGCCAGTGCGCAGACCTAAGTCCCATCTCCATTGCTCTTACAGGCTCAAACCCTTCATGTGTAGGACAAAAGGCTATGTGTGGCCAGAGGCCCGCCTAGCTCTGTGGCCTAATCTAACTCGGCAAATGCTAATGGGGCTGTCCCACAGTTCTGAGCCTGAGCCACGGGCCAGCTCTCTGTCCTGAGAGAAATGAACAAAGCTATATAGCCACTGCCTCACACCACATACAAAAATTAACTCAAAATGAATCTGAGACCTTAATGTCAGAGTGAAAACTAGAAAGTTTTTAGAAGAAAACTATATCTTTGTGACCATGGGTTAGGCAGTGGTTTCTTAGGAGATTGAAAGCACATACAACCAAAGGAAAAGAGGTAAATTATATTTTCTCAAAATAGAACTTTTCTGTTTTAAAAATTATTTAGAAAGTGAAAAGAACACAGAGTGGGAGAAAATATTTGCAGATAATATATTTGATAAGGGACTTGTATCTAGAATATTTAAAGAACTCATAACTCAATCTGATTTAAAAATTGCAAAATATTTGAATAGACAGTTGTACAAAGAAGATGCACACACGTCAAAACTACGTGAAGAGATGCTCATTAGTCACTAGGGAAATACACATCAAAACCACAGTGAGCTAGCACTTCACACTCACTGTGATGGGTAGAATCAAAAAGGGTGTCGGTGAGGCTGGAGCTCTCACACATTGTTGGTAGGAATGTAAAGTGGTACAGCTACAATTCCTCAAAAAGTTAAACAGAGTTACCATTAACACAGCAATTCTAATATACAGGAGAAATGAAAACATCTTCTCACAAACTTGTATGTTAATTTTCATAGCAGCATTATTATTAAGAGCCCCAAACTGGAAACTCAAATGCCCATCAACTGATGAATGGATAAACAATGTGTTATATCTATACAGTGGATTATTATTTGGTAATAAAAATGAAGTCATATATGTTACAACATGGATAAATC